ACCTACCACAATAAAAACTCTCCCCCACTCTATACAAACATGAAATCAATGTTTGGGCTTACATACATTTTAAAGGAGATCTGAAGCCCCAGCATATCCTCTCCTGTTATAACATCAGCATTGTAATAGGAATACGTACTGGAGTTGTGTCTCATAATACAATCAAAGCTTAAATGCAGAAATCCCTCTTATGTAGTGAGTACTGCCTTCCGTCTGCCCATCACTTTCATCAACTTCCTGGATTCCCAATGTGCTTTGTGTCTCTTTCCCTGCTGCTTCATGTGAAACAATCTCTATTTCTCAAGACTACATATCCCATCATGCATTGCTTCCAGCAAGCAATGATAAGTGCCTATTAACTGGGCTGAGTAAAATCGTGTCAGTACATTGAGGAAGTCCATCCTATGGGCATCTTCAGTAAGTATGTTTACAAACTTCTAGATGGAAATGATCTTTAGGAGTGGAATAGAACTTATGGAAATTGAATACAGAAATACAGAGTTATTTGTAGTTTTTGACCATAGATAACCTTTAAAAATATAATAATAAAAATAAGAATGAATAAGGAATGATATATGAATAATAAGAATGAATGAGGAATGATACTGAGAATAATAAGATAATAATAATGAATAAGGAATGATATAATAATAATGAATAAGGAATGATATAATAATAATGAATAAGGAATTATATAAGAATGAATGAGGAATGATATAAGAATAATAAGAATGAATAGGGAATTATATAAGAATAATAAGGAATGATACTGAGAATAATAAGTTAATAAGAATGAATAAGGAACGATATAAGAATGAATAAGGAACGATATAAGAATGAATAAGGAATGATACTGAGAATAATAAGATAATAAGAATGAATAAGTAACTATATAAGAATGAATAAGGAATGATACTGAGAATAATAAGATAATAAGAATGAATAAGGAACGCTATAAGAATAATAAGAATGAATAAGGAATGATACTGAGAATAATAAGATAATAAGAAATGATATAAGAATAATAAGAATGAATAGGGAATGATATAAGAATGAATAAGGAATGATATCAAAATACTAAGAATGAATAAGGAATTATATAATAATAATAATAAGAAAAAGAAGAATGTATAAGGAATGATATAAGAATAATAATAGGATAATAAGAATGAATAAGGAATGATGTATGAAGATAATAAGAATGAATAAGGAATGATATAGGAATAATAATAATGAATAAGGAATGATATAATAATAATAATGAATAAGGAATGATATAAGAATGAATAAGGAATGATATAAGAATAATAATAATGAATAAGGAACGATATAAGAATAATAAGAATGAATAAGGAATGACACTGAGAATAATAAGATAATAAGAATGAATAAGGAACAATATAAGAATGAATAAGGAATGATACTGAGAATAATAAGATAATAAGAATGAATAAGGAATGATATAAGAATAATAAGAATGAATAAGGAACGATATAAGAATAATAAGAATGAATAAGGAACGATATAAGAATAATAAGAATGAATAAGGAACGATATAAGAATAATAAGAATGAATAAGGAACGATATAAGAATAATAAGAATGAATAAGGAACGATATAAGAATAATAAGAATGAATAAGGAACGATATAAGAATAATAAGAATGAATAAGGAACGATATAAGAATAATAAGAATGAATAAGGAACGATATAAGAATAATAAGAATGAATAAGGAACGATATAAGAATAATAAGAATGAATAAGGAACGATATAAGAATAATAAGAATGAATAAGGAACGATATAAGAATAATAAGAATGAATAAGGAACGATATAAGAATAATAAGAATGAATAAGGAACGATATAAGAATAATAAGAATGAATAAGGAACGATATAAGAATAATAAGAATGAATAAGGAACGATATAAGAATAATAAGAATGAATAAGGAACGATATAAGAATAATAAGAATGAATAAGGAACGATATAAGAATAATAAGAATGAATAAGGAACGATATAAGAATAATAAGAATGAATAAGGAACGATATAAGAATAATAAGAATGAATAAGGAACGATATAAGAATAATAAGAATGAATAAGGAACGATATAAGAATAATAAGAATGAATAAGGAACGATATAAGAATAATAAGAATGAATAAGGAACGATATAAGAATAATAAGAATGAATAAGGAACGATATAAGAATAATAAGAATGAATAAGGAACGATATAAGAATAATAAGAATGAATAAGGAACGATATAAGAATAATAAGAATGAATAAGGAACGATATAAGAATAATAAGAATGAATAAGGAACGATATAAGAATAATAAGAATGAATAAGGAACGATATAAGAATAATAAGAATGAATAAGGAACGATATAAGAATAATAAGAATGAATAAGGAACGATATAAGAATAATAAGAATGAATAAGGAACGATATAAGAATAATAAGAATGAATAAGGAACGATATAAGAATAATAAGAATGAATAAGGAACGATATAAGAATAATAAGAATGAATAAGGAACGATATAAGAATAATAAGAATGAATAAGGAACGATATAAGAATAATAAGAATGAATAAGGAACGATATAAGAATAATAAGAATGAATAAGGAACGATATAAGAATAATAAGAATGAATAAGGAACGATATAAGAATAATAAGAATGAATAAGGAACGATATAAGAATAATAAGAATGAATAAGGAACGATATAAGAATAATAAGAATGAATAAGGAACGATATAAGAATAATAAGAATGAATAAGGAACGATATAAGAATAATAAGAATGAATAAGGAACGATATAAGAATAATAAGAATGAATAAGGAACGATATAAGAATAATAAGAATGAATAAGGAACGATATAAGAATAATAAGAATGAATAAGGAACGATATAAGAATAATAAGAATGAATAAGGAACGATATAAGAATAATAAGAATGAATAAGGAACGATATAAGAATAATAAGAATGAATAAGGAACGATATAAGAATAATAAGAATGAATAAGGAACGATATAAGAATAATAAGAATGAATAAGGAACGATATAAGAATAATAAGAATGAATAAGGAACGATATAAGAATAATAAGAATGAATAAGGAACGATATAAGAATAATAAGAATGAATAAGGAACGATATAAGAATAATAAGAATGAATAAGGAACGATATAAGAATAATAAGAATGAATAAGGAACGATATAAGAATAATAAGAATGAATAAGGAACGATATAAGAATAATAAGAATGAATAAGGAACGATATAAGAATAATAAGAATGAATAAGGAACGATATAAGAATAATAAGAATGAATAAGGAACGATATAAGAATAATAAGAATGAATAAGGAACGATATAAGAATAATAAGAATGAATAAGGAACGATATAAGAATAATAAGAATGAATAAGGAACGATATAAGAATAATAAGAATGAATAAGGAACGATATAAGAATAATAAGAATGAATAAGGAACGATATAAGAATAATAAGAATGAATAAGGAACGATATAAGAATAATAAGAATGAATAAGGAACGATATAAGAATAATAAGAATGAATAAGGAACGATATAAGAATAATAAGAATGAATAAGGAACGATATAAGAATAATAAGAATGAATAAGGAACGATATAAGAATAATAAGAATGAATAAGGAACGATATAAGAATAATAAGAATGAATAAGGAACGATATAAGAATAATAAGAATGAATAAGGAACGATATAAGAATAATAAGAATGAATAAGGAACGATATAAGAATAATAAGAATGAATAAGGAACGATATAAGAATAATAAGAATGAATAAGGAACGATATAAGAATAATAAGAATGAATAAGGAACGATATAAGAATAATAAGAATGAATAAGGAACGATATAAGAATAATAAGAATGAATAAGGAACGATATAAGAATAATAAGAATGAATAAGGAACGATATAAGAATAATAAGAATGAATAAGGAACGATATAAGAATAATAAGAATGAATAAGGAACGATATAAGAATAATAAGAATGAATAAGGAACGATATAAGAATAATAAGAATGAATAAGGAACGATATAAGAATAATAAGAATGAATAAGGAACGATATAAGAATAATAAGAATGAATAAGGAACGATATAAGAATAATAAGAATGAATAAGGAACGATATAAGAATAATAAGAATGAATAAGGAACGATATAAGAATAATAAGAATGAATAAGGAACGATATAAGAATAATAAGAATGAATAAGGAACGATATAAGAATAATAAGAATGAATAAGGAACGATATAAGAATAATAAGAATGAATAAGGAACGATATAAGAATAATAAGAATGAATAAGGAACGATATAAGAATAATAAGAATGAATAAGGAACGATATAAGAATAATAAGAATGAATAAGGAACGATATAAGAATAATAAGAATGAATAAGGAACGATATAAGAATAATAAGAATGAATAAGGAACGATATAAGAATAATAAGAATGAATAAGGAACGATATAAGAATAATAAGAATGAATAAGGAACGATATAAGAATAATAAGAATGAATAAGGAACGATATAAGAATAATAAGAATGAATAAGGAACGATATAAGAATAATAAGAATGAATAAGGAACGATATAAGAATAATAAGAATGAATAAGGAATGATATAAGTATAATAAGAATGAATAAGGAACTATATAAGAATAATAAGAATGAATAAGGAATGATAATGAGAATAATAAGATAATAAGAATGAATAAGGAACGATATGAGAATAATAAGAATGAATAAGGAATGATATAAGAATAATAAGAATTAATAAGGAATGATACTGAGAATAATAAGATAATAAGAATGAATAAGGAACGATATAAGAATAATAAGAATGAATATGAATAATATAAAAAGCAGTTCTGTCCTTTAATATGCAGACGGACATTGATTTTTTTCCTGCACTATGGAGGAATCGTTCAGGATTACGGGCTCACTCCTCCCTTTCACATTTAAATGACAGACATGATTTCTATGATCGATAGAAGAGACCTTTGTTCTTCACTATTAAATATCACGGCTTGATTCATTCTTGATCTGAATTTGGTTGTTTTGTAGGTTGAGGCTTCTATTGGCCTCACACATATCAGCAAGACTCCTGGCCCCCCGTCTGTGCCGGGGACAGGATGACACGACGGGTCCGGAGTCTGATGGACTGTTCAGTACAAATCTGGGGAATTATAATTCTGTGGATCTGACTTTATCCCGAATCACCATTTGGAAATGTTGGCAAGTTATATGAATGTCATAAAACCATCATCAAGTCGCTTCATTGGATTTTGTTTCATGAAGAATTGGGTTTCAAATGTTCTGGGATGGAGCGGGAGTTGATGAGTCAGGGACGGTCTTGACAAAATGTCGATCCAAAAGATAATATGGATTTAATTTGATGCTTACTGCACCGAAAACAAAATCAGTGCCGGAATCTCAGCATTGTTAAGGTCAGGAAATGGAGCGGAAAATTTTCAGAGCAGACACTGTTAAAGCTGAACTCCAGGAAAAGCAAATAGTGTCTATATACAAGAGCCATGCGTATTCTTATTGAATCTTTGTGTATTTTTTTCCAGATCTGTGCAGTAATCCAGCTTCCTGTAATAAAGACCAGCCACTGCTGCTCTCTCTCTCCTTGTGCAGGGTGACTGGTCATGTCTCCACCCCCTCCTGAAATTTTCAGCAGGCAGCCTGAAGTGGGTGGGGCCTGCTGGGTCCCTCCCACAACTCTGCTCTTTGCACACGGCATTTGCAGAACAGTGATAATGTCACTGCTACTTTTACAAGGTTATATCTGGGTTTTCAAGGGCATTTGTTGCACGCAAAGTGGATTTATATCCTTTGTGGCTATTGTGGAATATATTTAAATCAAAGTTTTTGTTCCTGGAGTTCAGCTTTAAGCTGGCCATACACGGCTCGTATTTAAGCCGATTCAGCAAATTCAAGCTGTGTGCCCTGTTGGCATCAACCGGCTTCACAAGTCAACTGGAAAATAGAGAAAAACAGGTGGAAAATTGTCCAGTGGACTGTGACTACATCTACTATGCAAATATTTAGACAGCTGCAGGTATGGGTTGCCTGAATACAATAGCCAGCAGGGGACATTCCACTATCCATCCACGCTGTTTAGTATTGATGGGGAATCAAGGACCGGATGAGAGAAATCTAGCCGTGTATTGCCAGCATTAGGAAGGGTTGGACAAAGTGGGACCACACCGGTAGTAGCAAGTGTAGTGTGAATTTAAGGTGGAATGGAACATAGCTGGAAACGTTATCACAGAGATCTTGTTGCAGAACTCCTTAAATCAGTGGTTCTCAACTCATGGGTCGCGACCCAAAAGTGGGTCGCGAGCCCTTCTGCAGTGGGTCGCGGCGCCATCACGGCAATCACGGGTCGCGGCGCAATCACGGCAGGCTTGTATTAATGAATAGAAAGCCTGCCGTGAGTGACTCAGCAGAAGACGGAGGACACAGCGGGGATCGTAGATAAGGTAAGAGACAGATACTAAACAAGAAGGTGACAACGTAGTAAACTCCAGCTATGAGTATAACAAGACTTTTCAGTGGACGGGATCTTTACACCAGCCCTGTAGTTATGAAGATTATTCCTTCCATTAGCCGTCCCTCTACAGCACAACATACAGGTTACACTCTGATTGTACAACCTACATGAGATCTACCAAAAACTATGTAGTGCTGCCTGATTGGACACAGATTGGGTGGAGAGATGAGGTTTACCTATTGGTAAATCTAAAGTTGATTGTATGGTCAGATTGTAACCTGTGAGGTGACCCAATGTCTTCTGCTGCAGAGTGACAGCTGAGGGAGCAGAGCAGAGGACTGACTACACT